AGGGCGAGGGTACCCTCGGGGATAGTCCTGACCGGCGCCGCTCAGCATTCAACACGCTGCACCAGGCCAGCCAGACCGCGCCGCTGCACACGGCAGGTCGCGGACGGCGGCGGCGGGACGACAAGAATTTGAATGAAAAAAGCGGTGCGTCGTGGAGGCAGCCGTGTCTGGCAGACAAGCAGGCAGACAGGAAGACGCTCTGCTCGACAAATCGCGCCTCCCCTGTCTCTGTTCGTCCATCGGCCAGCCGGCCCGACGTCCATGGCTGCACACTTCCGCGCGGCTCTGAACTAAACCGACACCAGTCTATTCCCCCTTTCCCCCTTGCCGGTGATCCCCGGTCAGCTGCCCGGCCCCGCCAGGAATTCCTCCGCGAATATCGACCAGCAAGAGAAGGCCGCCATGACATTCCGATAGCGAGGACCAAGCGGGGCAGAAAAAAAAAAGAATCAGCCGGTGACAAAAACACATTCCCGGCCAATGGTTCCTCGCGCGATCGTCTCTGTCACTCCACAATGCGAGAAGGAGAGCGAGCGGAAGAGACAGGAGAAGGGGAAGGGGCGTCAGGACGGGCCAATAAGCCACAGCCAATAACTAACTCTGCGGACAGATGGCCGGAGTGGCGGGAGGGAGGGAGAGTCCCTCTGGGGCACTGGGCTGCCGCCGAGGCTGCCGCTGCCGGAGGAGCATGTCGAAGAGAAATTTATGCGCCATCGCACGCGTGGCGGGGCGTGGCGGGGCGTGGCGGGGCGTGGCGGGGCATGGTGGGGAGCGGCGGGGCGTTCCGTGGCGAGGATTGGCGCCGGGAGCGAGAGCACGCTGTGGGACCGCTGCCAACTAAAATAGCCGGGGATGCGGAGCGGATAGCGAGGGTTGGACTTGGAAAACGGAACTGGAGGAGCCGAGCCACGCCGAGCCACGCCTGCACCGGCCTGCCGCCCCCGGCAGCACGTGAGGAGAAACTAGAGAGCGCCGGAGAGGCGGATGAGCCTGGAGGCGCCGGGGCGCGGTGGGCGCGCAGAGCTCCCTCGGGGTAGGCAGCCCGGCCGGGCCGGAGCGCTGCACGGGACTGCCTACCCGCACGGCGCCCTTCCTCCCAAACAGAACATGAGAGGCAAGGCAACCTAACATCGATTATCCGCGGTGGTCCAGTCTGCTGAACAACACTCTAGCTTGACGGTGGTGCGGCGGCACGTATTGCCCCCGAGGCATATGGCACCAACCGGTGCGTGCGAGGTGGGCGCGGCCCGGGGCCCGGGGCGACAGCGGTGACAACGCGCCCGGGCCGGACCACTGTCATCAAGACATTACCTCCGCTGGAGACGGTCTGTTTGCCCACGCGTCCCCGCCCGGCCCGGCCCGACACGTCGGCAGGGGACCCCGCCCCAGGCCGGGGCCGGGGAGGCGGGACAAACACTCTGCAGCCTGGCTGGGGATGAGGGCCCCAGGGCCCCATAGCGTCCTGCCGAAGGAGGGCCCCAGGAGTGGAGTACGGTGAGCGCTGCACGATGGCAGCCGGCCTGCGCCCTGACTGGCGTGGATTATTGCGACATCGCGGGAGGTTCTCGTGAGGAGCGCTCATTGCTGACTGGTAAAGTAAGGTGAATAACCTGCGCCCTCTGTCCCCAGCCTCAAAAATAAACTCACAAACAAACATGTACAGTATTGGCCTGTGCATTATAATGTGAAAGATTTTCTGTTTAAGTCAAAAAGTTGGATTTTTAAAATTTAAGTTTGGTGGTTGGTCGCGTTTTCGTCGAGTTTGGTCCCCTCGGGCGAGGGCGTGGGAATGGTATGCGCCCAGAGAGGTGGCCGGCGGCGACAGCCGAGCTGAAGAGTGCTGCGTCACAATGAGGCAGAGATCGCATCGCGGAGGGCGCCGCGCTGAGGGCGCGGGGGCGGTGGCTTACCGAGTCGGTGGCGTTGACGCCCGCGCCGGCGATGATGAGCGCGGCGGCGATGTCGGCGTGGCCCGCCGAGGCGGAGAAGTGCAGCGCCGTGCGGCCCTCCTGGGAGCAGACGGACGACCAACGATAAGCAACAACAAAAAAGTAAAAGGGGAAATCACAGGGGCAAATATACTACTCTCTGAACGGGTACACTCATTTAGGATTTAGGTTCACCCGCACCTTGGCCTAGAAAGACTGACCGTCGCCACATAAATCCCTTCTCTATCTATGTTGCTGAGCGCGGAGCCGCGGCGTATATCTCCGCGGGTTCGTTGCGAAATCCGCGCCGCCGAACAGCGACGCCACCGCCAAACAGCCGAGTCGTGATAAGAATCGAGTCCCGGCGGCGGCATGTTGGCCCCACCGGTCGAAAGGGAGTGACCCTTTTCCTCTCTGGCCCAGCCGATCGGGCTGTGTGGCGGGGGCGATAATCACGCCTAGCTTGTGCAGCGCGTGCGTTGAAGTCTCCAGGCAGCCTTGACCACCCCTGCCCCTGATCTCGCGCCCACGGATGAATGCATCCGCTGCTGCTGCAACCTGAAACCATTCCCAATAAGCACAAACAGGGCTTACAACCTTTCAAGACAGCCCCCGAGACTGTCTCTACCAGAAGACAAAGTGCCCTCTTCCTCCCTCTTCGCCTGTGTATAGCCGAAGGGCGCTCGGTTCAAGGTGGATGGCTCGGTTGTAGCGTTCCGGGTTTTTCGTTTGAAACTAAACTTTGATTTGATTCAATTTTCAGGCATTTCTAGCTGAGCCGGACGACACAGGATAGCCGTGTATCCCTACAACACACGGCCCGTCACGCGAGCGAGCTGCGTTTCAGTCCGATCGGTTTGGGTTCGTTTGTGGCCCCTCGGCCCTGCCGCCCCTTTGCGCCACCCGCGCGTGCGTGCGAGCGAGGCGCGCAGAGGCAGCCCGCGATTGCATGAGCAGCATGAGCCGCACGGCGCTCTGTGCGGCTGGCGCGGCCCGACGTGCGGCACTCGGCCGGGTTTCGGCAATGCGGTGCGGTGCGGAGCTCGCGTTACGCACCCTGCAGACCGCGGCGCTGCGGGGCCGCTGTTGCGCGGCGGACGGGGCGAGGCCGCCGTGTTCACGATATTTTAGAGCTTCCATCTTCAATGGAGTATGAAGCCGGCTGGTCGCCGCCCCGCTGCAGGTGCGGCCGGTGCGGCTCTCTGGCAGGTGCAGGTGCTGCCCTGGCGCAATCGCATCTCACTTTCACACCTTCGTGCTCGCCGGGGCCCTGGACGGGCGGCGCAGGGGGCGGCGGGGAGGCCCATAGGCGGCCGCCTCGACGGGGGAATATTAGAAAAGAAGGCAGCAGATGAGGCGATTACTTTGTCCAGAATGCAAATTGCCTCGGACGCTCCGCGCTAGCGCTAGCCGCTGCAGTTATGCACAATTAAGTCGCGGAGGAGAGAGAGAGGGAGAGGGGGGATAGGGGGGAGCATGCGCCAGCACGCCAGCGGCCCGAAGCTCCTTAATGTGGATAATTGCACGTGCAGAATCGGCCAAGCAACTCTTTCGCAGCCCCCGGGGCCACTGCAGGGATGCTGCAGGGGCAGGGACTGACGCGGCTGGACCGCGAGCGACCTTGGGCGCGCGGGCGCAGCGGGAGGGCCGGTATCGGTGCGGTGGTGGGCCCCTGCTGCAGCACGCCGGTGGGCCCGGGCCCTGGGCCCCCGCAGCCTGGGTGGTCCCCCCGACACGCCCCCGCCACATCAAAGGGGGCCCCCTGGCCCTAGCCGTGCTCCACGCTCGCATCCTCGTCATCCACGACGACCACGTGGTGGTTTTCGGCCGCTATGGGGTCGTTCTTCCCTCTCCTTTTATTTCATTTCACGGCTTTATCTGTTTCGTGTCCGGAGGACGTCGCGCGGTCGGAGACTGTCATTTGAGAAGCCACGACGAAAGTACTGCCTTAAAACAATACTACTACAAACGAGTACATGGACGCTGTGTTTGCGCCGTTCCAGTATTTTTCCTGACGTATGGGCCTCTGCTCTGTTCATCTTTTAACATGTGACAACCCAAAAGGAAAGTAAACAATTTAACTCACCTCATCTGGGAGCAGCTTGGTCCCCTCTCCGAGCAGCCGCACCACCTCCTGCAGCTCCCCGCGAGCGGCCGCCGCCCTCAGCTGCGCGGCGGGTCCCCCGATGGGGCCGCCGACGGAGCCCCCCGGGGCTGCGGGCCTGGGGCCCACCCCGGCCGGGTCGGGGCCGGCCGCCACGGCGCCCGGACTGGAGCTGGCCATGGCGCCTCCGCATTGGGTCACTGGCTCATCTGCAACAAGGTGGAAAGAGACGGTAATGAGAAAGCCATCGGGGGCAGAGATAGTCATCGCTGCCGGGCCGCGGCCGCGACAATCAGATAAGCGGAGCCTGCTTCCGAACCTGCCGATCGCGGTGAAATCGAAATGGAATCGGCCGGACTGCTCTGCGCTGCTCTGGCCTGGAGCAAGCGCGAGGCTGGTTTAATTTTGACGTCAATCCCTCCTCGCTGGCTTTTCCCGCAGTCCACTTCTCTCTGTCTCTGACTTCTTCTTCTTCCCCGAGACAGTTTACAGCCTATTACGTCCCACGTGCCCCGGCGGGCCGGAGCGACGTGTCGGAGGGGCCGGCCGGCCCGGGACCGCGCCACACCAAATAAAAACACGACGGGATCGAGTCGGATTTGCCACGGTTTTCCTCCTCCTAGAGCCCCCTGGGACTGGGGGCCGCCGCGCCCGAGCAGGCCCGCCCGGTCCGGGCTCCTCTCCTGTGCACGAGGGGGAGCAGCGGGGCGTGGCGGAGCCGTGAACGGCCCAGGATGCTTGCCTCACATTCAAGCCTAGTGCCCTGGACCGTGAAGCCTGAAGCCCTCGCTGACTCGGCCGGCCCGGCATCCTCGGTCCACGCATGCGTTAGCAAGCAGCTAGCAGCAAGCCAGGCGCAATAACGCATCGTGGGGACAAAACAATGACCGAGTGTCACAAACCAAAACGTGCTCGCTGGCAACGGCGAGCCTGCCTGTGGGGAGCGGTGCAGTGTTTATTTGCCGTAGCCGGTGTTTTCACGCGGCCCGTTGGCAGCACGGGCTCTGCCCCTCACTCATGGGGCGCGGGCAGCAGCCAGCAGGGTGTCCTCACAATGTAGCCATAAGTCTGAGCAGCCCGCCGCTGGGCGCCGCTCGGCCCCGCGCGAGCACAAGCTCGGTATTAGTCAGCCAAGCGCGTCGCCCTCGCGGGGCCGGGGCCGCCGTGTCCCCTCCCGGCGGGGCTTACAGTGCGCGCTCCTCTCCTCCCTCAGAGAGCAAAGCTCCGAGGATAAACTGTTGCTCTTGTCGCCTTCATCCACGGCCTGGTACTGGACCTGCTAGTCATACGGTGACTGTCGACGTCGGCGTCCTCCTCCCTCCCGGAAAGTGAGCGTAGCCGCGACGAGGACGCCACCGACGGACGCGGCGGCGCAAGAAGGGAAGGCCGCCGGAGGCCATGTCCAGGACGGGATGTAATTAAACGGGAAATACAAACAAGCGGCGCGCATGGCCGGGGGCCGCCGGGGGCCGCCGCGGGCTGGAGGAGGCCGTTGCAGCACCGTGTGCGGCTCGCCCCGGCGGTTGCAGGCCCCGTCACTTTCCTGTGCGTAAGTGTACCCGCGCGTGGCGCTGTGCAGTGTCCGGCGGGGCGGCGCAGGCAGAGTGTCCGTCCGGGCCGGGCCGGGCCCGCGGGCGACGAGAGCGAGCAGCGAGCAGAGCCCCACATCAGGCCGTTATGATTTCACCCACGGCCCGCCCCGGCGGCCCCGCCCCGCCCCGGCGGCCCCGCCCCGCGTGCGTCGCTACGGGTATCAAGTGCCGGGCCGGCCGGAAACAGACTTGTTGTCGGGCACGACCCGCGCCGCGCCCGGCCCGGCCCGACCCGGGGTTATTTCTCCACAGAGAGAACTGCTCTCGCGCGCCGTGACCGATACAGGCCACCCAAAATGCTAAAAGGATGACGGCGCGGGAGGCGGGAGGGCTCACTCCGGGCGCGCGCGGCCCGGGCCTAGGCGAGGCGTGGCGTGGCGGGGCGAGATAGGGTAGGGTGACCAGGTGTTCCAGCCGGCCCGGCCGCGGACGAGCCGGAGCAGCACGAGCAGGGGCCACGGATGGCTGCGCACAGCGCACACATTCCAGCCCGGAGACCCCGCAGTACAAATGATGTGGCTGCGTTGTTGTATATGGTCAATTCATTACACGAAGCTGCAGCCCCGGCCCCACCCCGCCCCGCCCCGCCCGGGGCTCTGCCCCCACTTACTGACTCCTATACCACCGGAGGCAAGGCGGGGCCCCCGGGCCGGCCGGTGTGTAGTTCGGTTCGCAAGCCGAAATAAATTGGTGGGCGCAGAGAGGTAGGGCCTAACTGGGCAGCATGGGCCAAAGGCGGTCCAAAGGCACGTCGTTGCTGTTTCCAAACTGGAACTGTATTATAACTCTCAACCTGCCATCAGCGCAATCAACCTTTCGTCCGAGCGAGCCCGCGGTGGCGCGGCGTGGCGCGGCCCGTCCGAAATGACGCTCCCGCTCCACTCGGAAGGGCAAGAGCAGTACGACGGCTGCGGAGGTAAAGGTGGGGCGGGCGGCCGAGAGACATTTCGTTATGTTGCTCCGAGCCCGTGACGATCAGCAGCATCCGATCCGGCATCTCACTCGAGGCGCGCGGGCTGAGGCCGGGCGAGGGAAGGGGCGTCGTCTCTGTGCGTGTCCTGCTCGTCCCGACCCTCCTCGAGTCCACGGCGGGGCGGGGCAGCGGGACGGGACGGGACGCCCTTATCGACCTGTTGGCCGGGTGGGGCCGGGGCCGCCCTCGCCAAGCACAAGATAAGCGGCGTCCTGCCCGGCCCAAGTCCGGCGAGTCAGGCCCCGAGATAGACCCGGCGCGGAGCGGGGGAGGGGCGTCGGGCGCGCCGCGCGCGTTGGGACGCATAAATATCGAAGGGATACAGCACCACCGCCCGGATGAGAAATTGTAACCGCCGGCGGTTTTCCGTTTGTTTCGAAACGGTCTCCTTACAGTTGGCGGTGCGGCGGCATTTTGGAGAAAGTGAAAACTGCGCAAACGAAACACTCATTTGCACTAACGGACGGATTTCTACAGGAGTGTAAAACAAAGAAACACTTATTTCAACGAGTTGTTATTTGGTCGCCGGCCCAGGCCGCAGGTGCATGGAGTGTCCGAGTGTCCTCCCCACCCCGCCTCGCCTCCCCGTTGGGCGCACTGGCACACAGCCAGGAGGAGCGAGCCCTCCGACCAACCTGCGCCTTCCCTCTTCCCGCCCTGGCCCCAGCGCAGTCCAGCAGGAGGATCAAGTCGGGGCAGATATGCGGCCCGCGCATGATGGCTGCGGGGCTCTAGCGCCGCCGGACCTCGTGGCTTGAGCAGTGGAGCACGCGGGGCGGGGC